TAGCCGTAATAATAATGATTATAATTATAAAGAGAAGGGTAGTCAAGGCAGGCTTATTTACATCATGGACTTGAGCAACCACAGATTTTGGTATCTGCAGGAGATCTTGATTCATAGTCGAAGCAAAATAAATAATAATAACAATAGTTATTATTACCTAATGAGTTACACTGCCCCTGAATGATTTACTTGCCTTCAGTAAGAATTATCACTTTCTGCTCCTAAACTTCCAAACTATTTCACTCTTGTCAATGGTATTGTAATTCCCCCATAATGCAACATTATTTAAAGAATTAGTGTTTTCCTTATCTTCAATAGGTAACTAAAGAAATCCTAGGATTAGAACAGGCCTTAGTTTAATTCTGAATCATGGTGCTATTATGAGAATTAATCCATGATTACATGTAAATTGCTATAGGACATAATATTTGCTCAATAAAGTTAGCTGTTGTTGGTATAATCAGTTCATATACTTTATTTCAATATGTCACAGAGAATAAATCCTATCGCTCCTCCTTTAGAACACATTTCATATGGTTCCATCTTTCTACAAACCCTAGGTGAAATCCTTGGGTGCCAGGCTTTCTGTTAGGTCTAATTTATCCTGTGTACCACTGCTGTTACCTTCAACACTTTGGTTAGACTGAGAAAACCACCATGATTTTCTATTTTCCAACCTGTCAGGCACTTCTCCCCAGTAACTAACTCAGATTTCTCAGACTTCTTTTACTGCTCATAGGGCCACCATTCTGGTCAAAATTGTCTCATTAGCTGCAATGCCTTTGTCTTATGTTGACTTTGGACTACACTCCTGTGCTTTCCCATTCCTTACCTGGGAGCCCTTGATTTCACTCTCTGCTGACTCAAATCTGCCTGTTCTTCAAGGCTATGATCATGTATCACTTTTGCCTAAAGCTAGTCCTAACTAACCCTCATCAACCCTTCCTTTCTGTGAAACCCTGTAACCCTTGAATCTTCTATGCCTAATGCAGATATAATCCAGGGATATGTTATAAAGAGGTTTGGTGCATGGCCTTCTGAGTAATATTACCTGAGTTCTAACTTGGCTCTGCCACATTTTAGGTATGGGACTTGGGCCTCAGTTTCTTCATCTGTCAATGGACATAACAAGAACACCTATTTCATAGTATTATTTGTGATATTTAAATGACATAAACTATGCAAAGCACTCAGTATAGTAGTTGATGTGTGATAATCATTCAACAGGTTAGCTGTTATGATGTGGTTGTCATGCTGTTTGTTGAATGAATTAATTTCCACACAGCTTTATAGTCTCCATGTTTAGAGGAATAAAATAGATTGTACAAAATATCTGAGAATCCCAAAACGATGCATGGTTACATTTACCTTTAGAATGTTGTCAGTCTTCAGTGTCACAGAACATATGTCCAATGGTTTAAATGCTCTCTTCCTAAATTCTGGGTTTCTTTCTCTTCTACCCATCCTTATTGCCAACCACCCCTTGATAAGTAGAAAAAGGAAGAGGGTTATGAAGACTTCAGGTCACTGCAGATGAAATGCACAAAGACAAACCCAGGGCTTCCCATATTATATTGAGTATAGAGAATGCCTTATGGGAACTCTAAGAAGCTTGAAGTCATTTTCCCTTTAGAAATCATAAAGAGGTCAGTGATTTATAATTCAGAAGAACAATAGGCAGGAAAAGTTCTCTACCTGCCAGTGCAAGCAACGACTGTCTTGCGAGGCCTTCTAATGTAGTCAGAACTTCAAAGTAGCTAACAGCCCTTTTTCCCTAACTGCCTGCTACGCTTTATCCTGGAGGCACTTCTGCTCTTCTCTGATTCCTTTTGGTTAAAAAAATTATTTTTTTCTGCCATTCTCATTTCTCCTCTGCAATCCTCTGTTTCTTTCTTTTTCTCTTTGGTGGTCTGGCTTTGGTGCTGACCCCACCGTGCCCTCTCAAGGGCACTTAGCAGAGCTGTTGTCTCAGGCTCAGGTGTGCTCCCCATCCTCTGACCAGTAATAGAACACAGGAAAAAAGGCCATCTCTCCAAGTCACAATATCTCTTTATTGAAGCTTTGTTCTGCTGCTTTGAGTCTTTTCTCTCTGATTCACTGGCCTTGCATTTGAGCAACTTTCCCATTTCTCTCTTTTCTATTACCTCCCAATTATAGAATGACTAGGTTAGACTTATTGTTTCTGGTTTCTCACTTCTAATACATTCTTTGACATGCTACTGAAATGTGAGGATTATGTTGGAAGATGGAAAAATCAAATGAATGCCAATCTTCATTCCTGGGTCCCCTGCTCTCTGGCTTGACAACTGAAATCCTGGGCCCTGCATTTTCCCTGCTGAACCACCTCCAAGATTGGCCTTCAGAACTCTTAGGACTAGACTGGCAGGTGGAGAGACCTGTGCTCTCAAAGGGCCTCTCTTCTTAAGCAATCCTCTCATCCCTGATTGGGAAGCAGAAGGAGATTTGGAGGCTTGTGGAAATGGGGTTCATTAACATTCAAGCATGTATCCTGTTGCCATTGAGGGCATTCCTTGTGGCTCCATCATTCTGTTTCTATGACTCATTGCTTCCTTTGTCCTTTAGAAAATATATCCCTGGTCTACCACATACCTCCTCCTCTCCATTTTTACTGCCACTGCCTTAATTCAAGTGCTATTTGTTGAAGAAGTATCCCACTAATACTTGTCTTAGTTTCCTTGGGCTGTCATGTAAAATGTACTGTAAGTTGAAATTTATTCTTTCATGGTTCTGGAAGCTAGAACTCAGTAAAGGTGTTGACAGGGCCATACTTCCTCCTCTAAAGGCTCTGTGGAGAATCTGTTCCATGCCTCTCTCTTAGCAGTGGTGTTGGTGGCAATCCTTTCATTCCCTGGCCTGTAGCTATGTAACCCCAATTTCTACCTTGATCGTTATGTGGTATTCTTCTCCCTGTTTCTCTGTTTTTCCCTTTTTTTAAATAAGGAAAACAGTCATATTTAATTAGGGCCCATCTTAATGAACGCATCTTAACTAGATTACATCTGCAAAGATCCTATTTCCAAATGAAGTCACATTCATAAGTACCAAAAGTTAGGGCTTCAACGTATCTCCAGGGAGGACACCATTCAAACCATCACAAAAACCCTCATAGATCTCCCTGACACCCATTATTTTCTTTCTCTAATCCACCCTCTTTATACTGTCCAGTCAGCTTTCTAAAATACTTATTAGATTATTTACACTTGAATTCAAAAAACATTTGTCAAGTCGCCATTTCTTTTAGATGAAATCTTTACAATTGCATTTCAGGTCCTTTTCATTTCAGGTACTTCCCATGTTCCTTTCCAGCATGTCCTGTCATCCACTCTCATGGACCTGGCTGGGTGTGACTTGCTCACTGTGTTAGAATGTTCAAGGCCTTGTGTATTTTTTTTGCTTCTTTTCACCTAAGTGCCATTCTTTTTAAAATGAATAACCCATCTGAGGTTTTTTCATAACCCTTTGTTTATTCCATTTTCTTATTCATTCTGAATTTCGCAATGCCTGGTACCTACTATCGGCAAATAAATGATATTGAATAAATGATTCCAGAAAGGAATAAATGATTTGGTAATTAATGTTGCAAATAGTTTTTTCTTCATCATGATCTTCATAAGTTCTAGAAATTTGATAGTTATTTGTGAATATAAATAATTTGTTCAGATATTTATAGCATAATAGCTAAGAAGGCAGGTTTTGGAAACTGCCTGATTCACTTAGAAGTTACGAGACTTTTTTCAGTCTTTTATATGACCTTCCTGTGCTTCAGTGTCTTAATCTGCTGGATGGGAACATGAATTCCTAATTAACAGAGTTATTAGAATAAAATGTATTAGATAAAAGAACAATCCATGGGGTAGTGACTAATAGAAATTAAATGGTTAATATTTATTTGTCATATTTTCTTTCTAACTACTATTATAAGTATAAATATAATAGTTATGACATTTATATTTATTATATATATTATATATTTATACATCCATATATAACATAAATATAATTAATATACATATATTACAAATAAAATACTATATACTCTATTATAAATATAGTATAATAGTAGTTACAATGTTTATTATGTCTAATAAATATTTCTAATTATATATTAAGACATATAATACTCTTGTTTATCTTTTTTAAAACTTTTCTTTTGAGTTTTTAAATTAATTGTTATTTTAAGCCACGTGATCAACTATTTTTCCAGTTAATTGTCTACAGGCTTCTATCACTTCTAAGTGATAATGATGATACAAACACATTTTATATCATCATTATCAATTATAATTGAGAATATATATCTCATTGCCTCTCTCCAACCATTCCCTGATTAAAGTATTGAATGTATTTTATAAACCAGGTGAGTCCTATGAGACAGAGGTAGATAATGTTGGCCTTGATATGTGGTATTGGATTTAAGAATAATAGCTGTAATATGCTCTTTTTAACAATGCTGTTTGGCAACTGTTCTTTCTGGATGGGAAGCTAATGACAAGTACTCATGTTATACTGTCTGGCATAAGGCTATGAAAGGCACTATACCAACAGAACACAATATTGAAATGTTTTCTTATGTGACTACAAACTTTCATTCATGAACCACTTTCACTCATGGTTGTCATAGAGTGGATTCTCAACAAGTTTTAATCTGTGTCATCATGATAATTCTGAAAGCAACTTAAAAACAACAGTAATAATGGATGATGTTGCCACTCCTCCTAAATAAGCGCATGTGCCTTCTAATGATGTAAATAAAACTTATAAATTATATGGATGGACTCTTTGGAAAAATTTTGCCTGACCGTGTAGGCAGTACTCTTTCTTAGGACGAAAAAAAAAGCTGCATTCACATAGAAGATAAGCTTCAGTGTCTAATTTCATCAGCATTTAACATGGGGCTCATTTTGGTTTTCCCAAAGAAAGAGGAGACAGGAACTAAAAATTTGATCTTACAGTCTCTCTTTCTCTCTCTTCCTCCTTAGATGTATATTAGTTCCCATGGAAACTACATTGGGATGGCTTGAGAGTGACATCTACAAATGCAGTGTAAGGTCATTTTTATATAATGCTTTGAAATTTAAACCATGGTTTGTGATATATAGTGAAACCCCCTTAACATATTCTGAAGGACTATAAAAAGACAATATTCTGAATGCAAAAACAAGACATGTGACTGCATTATGCCAGGTCTAGGAAAGTTCAACATTGCTCTTTGCATAGAAAAATACAAATACATTTGTCGGTTTGCCTCCAGGAAAGTCCTGGCAATGAAGCTAGCCTCCTTGATATGGAGGGAAGAAAACCCCTCCTTCTACCTTCTTCCTTTTTATTTACTTATTTTTTTAAATGTAGTTTTTTTCTTGTTGCCCCAGGCTGGAGTGCAATGGTGTGAACTCGGCTCACTGCATCCTCTGCCTCCCAAGTTCAAGTGATTATTTTACCTAAGCCTCCTGAGTAGCTGGGATTACAGGCGGCTGCCACCATGCTTGGCTAATTTTTGTATTATTAGTAGAGATGAAGTTTCACCATGTTTCCCAGGCTGGTCTCAAACTCTTGACCTCAGGCCATCTCCCTGCCTCAGCCTTCCAAAGTATTGGGATTACACTCTGCCTGGCCTTGCCATTTTTTTTTTTTTTTTTTGAGACAGAGTCTCACTCTATTGCCCAGGCTGGAGTGCTGTGACAGGATCTCAGCTCACGGCAACCTCTGCCTCCCAGATTCAAATGACCTGCCTCAGCCTCCTGAATAGCTGGAATTATAGGCATGTGCCACAATGCCTGGCTAAGTTTTATATTTTTAATAGGGATGGAGTTTCATCATGTGGGCCAGGCTGGTCTTGAACTCCTGACTTCAGGTGATCTGCCCGCCTCCCAAAGTGCTGGGATTGCAGGTGTGACCCACCACGCCCAGCCTCCTCCTTTGTTGTGGAGTCAGTGAGGCCACCAGGTAAGGGACAAGGGTTTAAGGCTTTAAATGCTGAGCTAAGTAACTGCCTGAGGACTGTAATAAAGCTGCAGGGGTTTTCTTGCTTTTGTGATTCCTACCACCACTCTTGGCCTGCCCTTCTTAGAGCACTGATGTGATTTCCTTTATTAATTTGCCAGTGCTTCACCTATAAATTCCAGGTACATCTGAAGAGAGATATATTTCTAAAGGAAGAAACTGGAGTCTTGGGCTAAAAATGACTAGAGGTTTAATGAAATATGATCAAATTAGGCTTCAAATCCACTCTCCAGAGAAGAAAAGTCTAGATGTTGAGTTAGGAGGTATGAATTCAAATCTTGACTCATTCCTTTTCTAGCTATGTGTCTTCAGCAAGCCAAAACTCTTCTATGCCTTAATATACTAACCTGAAGAATGCTGTCAAATTTTAAATGGGTGAACATGTGAAAAGGGATGATGTGTAAGAAAGTGTTTAGTACTAGTTACATGCTAGGAACTCAATACAATTGTGTTGCATAAATGAACTTTGTTTATACGTAACTTTGTTCTCATCATAATCCTTTGTATGTAAAGCTGTGAAAATAGCTATCACTTAACTCATGTCATAGTTCAATGTGGGTCAAATGGCTACCTCTCCAGTTTACCATCTGGAACATGTAGGCTGTAAGATCAGTTTGGGCAGGAGGAGGCACCTGGGCTCCTGCATCACTTCCATTCCCACTACATTGGCCAAAATGCAAAGTTAGGCTGGGAGATGCCAGCTAATATGTCAATGGTACGCACTAATTCTCTCTTCCCCACTTAAAAAATGTTTAACAAATCTCACTGTTTAAAACTGATAATTGTAATAATAAAGAGAATCATAAAGCAAGCACATTTGAAGAAATGGCTGATGTTTCTGACAACATTCTTGTGTGAGCTGCTGTTCCAACCCTGTTATTTTTTTCAACCCAAAGAAAAAGAACAATACATTCCTCATTGATATAGTAAGTCACATTGCTTTATGTCTCCTGCCCACAGACTTAAACTTTAAGAGGCGCATAAATAAGCAAGTTAGCATATGTGACCTCCTGACCGTCAAGTGTTAAATTCCAGGAACTATATTACTCCACCACTTTTATTTGTCTGTGGGAAATCAGTTGATTTATGCCTGATCCCAGGATACAATAAAAATGTACAGGTATGCTAAACTAGGACTTGTAGAACCAGTCAAATAAAAATTTTTGTTGCCCTTAAAATCTGCAAATAAAAGTAACCTTTGATTAAGGATAATATGCTTTATATCATAGTTTTATCAGAATTTGGCAAAACATTTCCAAATAATTTAATTTCAATATAGTACAATGCATCATAGCCTTTGAAGAGTAAGATCCCCTGCCTGATGAAAAGTTTCTTATTTACAAAGGAGTTATGGGAAAAGGGCAGTTCTACCAGCATAGACAAGGTAGATTAACAGAAACATTCAGCCAAGTAGGGTCTGAAGTTTCTCAAATTTGGCTTATTTACATTGTCTATTCATTCTTATTTTATGGGCTTTAGAACTTCAGATGGGGTCCAGCTAGGATTATAAACCAAAGTGCCAAAATAACCCGCAAGACTGTTACAGAGGAACTCCCAGCTCAGTTTTCAGACTCAAGAGTTGGAATCATTTCAAAAGGATTCTCAGCTCTTATATATTTTAGGCAGGTCTCCATTGATATGCAGTGAGACTCAAAAGCAACTTGGAGAATTTCCATCTCATTAACACTTCATTTATGGTATACCTGTGTCAAGCCTCAGCCTTGGAGTTCTGGTCTTAGCTTAAATGAGGGGGAAGAAAACTTCTGTAGCCAATACTAAGCTGAGTACAGATTCTGTTGTATATAGTCATGATTGAAGCATGCTCACATCACCTTTGAACTCAGATTTCTCAGTATTCCTCAAAGTATGAAATATTTCTTTAAAAAATTATATGCATTTATTTTTTTCTCTTTCATTAGATGTTGTATATTCGTACCTGGTTCATTTTCCAAAGTGGATTTTTGGTGGTCAAAATTATTAAACAAAATCACTTGGGTTACATGTCATCATACATATTTTTGGAACATGTACAATCCCACTCTGAAAATACTCTATATAAGTTGGGGTTTGAGAAAATGTCACGGCTGGGTGCAGTGGCTCACTCTTGTAATCCCAGCACTTTGGGAGGTCAAGGCTGGCAGATCACAAGGTCAAGAAATTGAGACCATCCTGGCCAACATGGTGAAACCCCATATCTACTAAAAATACGAAAATTAGCTGGGCGTGGTGGTGCAGGCCTGTGGTCCCAGCTACTCAGGAGTCTGAGGCAAGATAATTGCTTGAACCCAGGAGGTGGAGGTTGCAGTGAGCTGAGATGGCGCCATTGCACTCCAGCCTGGGTAGCAGAACAAGCCTCCGTCTCAAAAAAAAAAAAAAAAAGGAAATGTCCCGGTGGAAACCTCAGCAGCAGTTAGACAGGGATTGTGCTTCATTTGCTTTTGTGATCCCAAAGTTTAATGCAGTATCTGTAACATTGCAGATGCTCAATATTTGAGAATGAGGAAGTAAATGAATGAACAGGAAAAAAGTTTTCCTGAATGCATCCAGTTTATTCCAGACAGACTTTGTTCAGCACTTCCCTGTGAATCAAAACAAGACCACAGTAAAGATTTGGAATACACAAGATGGTATAGGGGCCATCACTGGGGCCCTGTCAAACTCCAGGGAAGCAGGAAAGTGGGAAAGAGCTGACAGCCACCAGGGTCATAGTGCAGATTATATCAGAAAGTGGTTTTAGCTGACTAGTGGGTTGGAGGTCTTGTGGCGTCAGGAATGTACAGCTTTGTGATTAGTTTATAATAACTTTGAATTACCTGTAATTGTGATCAGGTAATGGAAAGTATCAGGGACTTCCAAAATAATTTGTATTATATAAACATATATATATTTGACATGTTATGCATCAGACTTACATTTTTAATTGAGATTCTCATAAGTCAAGACTAAAATGAGTTATTCCCACTGCTATAACTCACTTTCACTAAAGCTTAGTTGAGATTAAAACATAATGTGAAAAATTCAAAGATAAAATGACTATGTATATGTATATATATACATATACATGTACAAAACATATTTGCATGAGTACACACACACATACTCACATAGTAACAACACTTATATGATTCCATATTATATATAATGATATATAGCCCATTATATATATGAAAATATGTGTGCATATACATACATATGGATTAGGTATATATGAAATTGTATACATACATGGAATTGTATGGGTGCTACTATTATGTGAGTATACGTACATGTATCTGTATGTTTGTTTTGGTGATGGCACCATTCTTTTATTCACTAAATATTATTGAACATTCACTGCATCTAGGAACTCTGCTGGGCACTTAGAATACAAAAAGTGAATCCGTCCAGTCCCTGCCTTTAAGAATATCCTAATATAGTGAGGAAGCCAGATTCATAAACCCATCTGTGCAGTTTAAAGACGATGTAGGAAAATACTTTATAGAGGGGCTTAAGAAAAGAATGTTCCAAATATTCATCAATGCCTTCCACTTATCACATGCAGGCCTTTCCTTTCTTTCTCGTCCTATTCATCATCCAAGTAATGAATTTGCAGATAATTTTTTACTTTAATAAAACCTCAAAATGGTGTAAGTGTTGGTGGGAAGGTTTTGATTTATGCCTCTAAAAGCTGTAAAACATTTTGCTTTTCCCAACATCACATGAAAATTTGTTGCTTGAACTTTGGAGAGAATTCTTCCCTTTTAAATTTCTTTCCCTTTATCATATTGTAATTTGTTAAATGGAATGAATCATTAATGGATTTCTTGCGGTTTTAAAAAGTAACCACATTTATATATAACTTAGCAACATTCAAAGAATGTGTGCAACTCTGTAGACACCTTGGAAGTAAATATACAGGCATAAATATGCATGAATCAGACTGATGAAAAAATAGCATTTGTTGTTTGTGTCATGATCTATGAGTGCAGGTATGGTTGGAAAGTATGATGAATTATGAACGTTCTGTTTCAGGGTTTTCATCTGCAAAATGGAACTAACAGTACTTTCTGTCCCTGCTACATAGGATTGCCATGAATTGCAAATAAGATAATATGAGAAAGTGGTTTATGAGGTAGAATTTACTGTATAAATACATGTCTGGCCAAGGTGTGAGGGCCATGTGGCTGCATATCAGACTCTCACAGGTTCCTAACTACCAGGATGGCTTCTGCAGGTGACTACAAGGATATATTTTACATTTATAGATGTCTTCCAAATCACTTTTCCACG